TTCAATTTTCAATTCTTTTACTTTGTTCCTAATCTCTATAACCTCTTCTAGCCATACAATTCTCTGGGAAGTATCAACTTGGTAAATTTTATTGCACATTCTCGTTCTCGACATCTTCATATCATGATTACAAAGGCCAGACCTGAGCATTATAATCTATGGCACAATTTTTGACATATACTTTAGCTGCTAAGGAGCATCTATGTGATTTAGGTTGGGCTCTATATCTTCCATGACAGCTTAGCTCATGTTTCAAGCTAGAAGCCATTTTGTAAAGGAGTTGATCATCAGAACTAAGGGGTAAGCACTATCAGGATCACTAAGGTTCTGACTGATAATGAAATTGCCTGCCAGACTCATTAAAAAGACTGCACACCATTTTCATGGCTAACACTTTATGATTTTGTGCATTTAACATTGAAGTTATTGTACCGAACCTCAAAAAAAGACATTTCTAAGCTGAGACAAAAAGACAGTTACTTCATGGAATGGCCAGTTTCTTGCAACATCCATTAATGGTACTGTGTGTTTTTCAAGAATATCTCCATCTCTGAACAAATAGTATTCCTGATCGTCAAAGACAACTTTAGCCCCTCCATATTCTTGTGAGTAGAACTGTTACACCACCTTGTACATTAACTGGCTGAATGTCACCATTCTTTACTTGGTTGCCAGATCCAACCACACAAACCTTGCTTGAAACACTTTGTCCTGGGATTTTTCTGGAAGCATGAAGTTGTCTTTTGCATCCCATTCCACTAAAGCATGGTCGAAGAGAGGAAGAAACGTTTTAAACAGCTGACCAGCCATGCCTGCTGCCACTTCTAAAAGCACTAGAAATGAGAAACCTCCCTGCAGCAGCGAGTAACACTTTATTTAATATGTCTTCTAACAAAGGCCAGCTAAATAGGGAGTGAATAAATCAGAGTTGAGATAGAAAGCGATGTTTAAAGCTATGCTCAAATTTTACAATTGAGAATTACAGATCCAATGATTGACTACATTGCATTTGAAAAGGAATAATAAAGCACATCAGGAGACTTTGGGGAGACATGCCAATATTCTCTGAACATTTCTCCCAAAAATAAGGGTGCTGTGCTACTCTATCTTATCCGCCAAGAGAAAGGAAGTTTTCAGGCATTGGCATTTTGCCAATGGTCGGTGAACATTAACAACGTTGATTAAATATATATAAAATATACACAAGATGGTGAGAGAGAATTTTCTGAATCTATACATTCAGGTTCTAGTTCCATGTGATTTGACATCATCATGACATATAGCTCCTTATATACGTGCTCAGTAGCTATAATTAGAGTAAAGGTGCAGTTGACCATTTATTCCATATCTTCCGTCCCAAGTCTTTATTCTTATTGATTATTTACACTATCTGCACATCTTCCTAAACCCAACCCCAAACTTTTGTTTTCGAGTACGCATGCACAAGATCAGCTAGATGTGCCTTCAAGCTTTCATCTTCTTCAGTAGATGCTAGTTTGTGGTGGAATAGCTAAGAATAGAAGTGTTTGGACTTAGCAAATATCTTTTCCCATCTAAAGTGGAATGAAGGCACACGAAAACTGAAACCATGCACAAGGACAAACTATTTGCTTTCAGACCATATCTGATCAGAGATTTATTATCTGATTAGTGGTATTGTTAATTACATTTCCAAACTATTTCCATTTATGTGAGATAATGGTGCAAGCATACTGTAAACAGTTACTGTTTATGAGGCAGTTATCCCTTGAAATTGGAGGTTGGGATCCAGGAAGAGGAGAGAGAGGAGGTAGGAGATCAGGGTTAGAAGGGGTGGGGAAAGAAGTAGGCAGGAAAATAGGTCCAAGGGGGAGATGGGAACAGGAGCAGTCCTTTTGATTGCCTCCTGCCCACGGGACCAAGACCCCACCCCGTCAACCAGATGCCAAGCCCCATGTCAATGTTGTTCCTGTTCTGTGTACATGCACAGTGCACACTTTGCTCATGATGCAATGACATGGAACCATGCATATGCACATTTCCAAGTGAGCACACAAGCTCAGTTGCCCCGCAGTTTCTGTGTCAGCAAACACTGGCAAGAGGAAGAGGAGGTGGAGGAGGCACGGGTATCCAAAGGCTTCCTGGTAGATAGTGGTTATCTCTTTTGATGAGCACTTTGACAAATATTCTCCACTATCAGATTTCAGAGCAGATGATGTGGCTTCCGTTGATTTGCAATGTATCAAGCAGTCCATCAACTGCACTCAATCCTTTCAACCCCTTCCACATGAAGATCACAATTACTACGGTCAGTGATTCCACCACTATCCAATTACCATCATCACTCTTTAACTACAATGAGAACAAACAAGGGAAGGATTACACTACCGAGAGAATTTACAAATATTATACTATTCAACCTGATCCTTTCTATTAGTATCTTTGTATAGCACCTTCGTGATATCTACTGTTCCTACATAGAGTCATACAGCATTGAAACAGACTTTGGCCCAACTCATCCATGCCGACCAGATTTCCTAAACTGAACTAGTCCCGTTTTCCTGCATGTAGCCCATAGCCCTCTAAATCTTTCCTATCCATTTACCCATCCAAATGTTTTTTAAATGTTGCAATTGTGACTACCTCTACTGCTTATTTTGGCAGCTCATTCCATATACACACTACCCTCTGTGTGAAAATTTTGCCCCTAAGGTCTCTTTTAGGTCTTTATGCTCTCGCCTTAAATCTATGCCCTTTGGTTTTATATTCTCCTACTCTGGGGAAAATACCTTGTCTATTAACCTTATCTACGCCCATCATGATTTTATAAACCTCTGTTAGGTCACCCCTTATAACATAGTTTATTCCTAGTGGTGGAAGTAGGCAATGTAGGCAGCTGTTGTGAATTTGAAAAGGAAATTTCAGATATTTTCCTTGGACTTCCTCAAGAGGCAACAAACTGTGAGGTTCTTGCTTCTGATTGTACAGATTTCAGTGTTCTGGGCTATTTGTTGGGCAGGGGAAGGTACCACCAAAACTACAATGGAAGAAGTTCCAGTTCCGTACTTCACACATAACACTACCTCAGGCTCTAGCCCTCCTAGTATTCTGGTGGAGGACAGATCCTCTACCATCAGATGCAATACATTAAGCCCTGTCAATTGAGAAGCCTAGACCAACATGTCAACTGCCTGAGCTTCCATTGCAGCCATTTGCTGTTAGATGGGGGATAGCGTGCATTAAGGTTACAATGTTAATGGTGGTTGCTAAACAGTGTGTTTGTGAGATGAGATCCTACTGAACAAGTCCTGCCAAATTATTAGATAACAAGTTGTAGATCTGGATGAACACAGCACGCCAAGCAGCATCAGAGGAGCAGGAAAGCTGACATTTTGGGCCTAGACCCTTCTTCAGAAAATT